AAGACCCCTAAAAAAAAAAAAATAAGAATTACTTTATTTAGTAGTTTATTTATACTACTTATTATAGATAGATAACTAGATCTTTAAGATTTTTTAGAGAATAATTTTAATCTTATTATTAGAGATAGAAATAATAATATCTCTCTTCTTAATCTCTATATTTATAATTCTATTAATATCTTCTAAGAAGATATAAAATATTTATAATAGTTTCTTAGAATTAGAATCTATTTAATTAAATAATTTATTAAGTTTTTCTATTTCTTAAGGTTTTAATTTCTCTAGTAATATTAAATTTATACTAAGTTATTTCTCTATATAGGGAGTTATAATTATTATTATATAAATATTAAATATATACTTTTATATAATCTAATTATTAATATAAATAAATAGATTATTAGATTTTTCTATTTTCTAGATTTTTACTTTATTTATTAATATAGAATATATACTTAACTACTTATCTATATAAGGAGCTATAATTACCTTAGATATATTAGGGTTTCTATAGTAAACTCCTTCTATAATAGTAGTTATTATATAGATACTACTAATAATAACTTATATAAGTAGATTATTATTTTTATTTCTATAGTTAAAGAAAACCTAGTAAGATTTAATAAAAGATATTTCTAGAATAAATTTAATAGAGAATATCTTTCTACTCTTTATTATATAAATAATCTACTCTAAGGGAATACTTCTAAAGAATACTTTTATATATATTCTTCTAATTATCTCTATTATATAGTTTAAGAAAGAAGTTATAGTTATATTAAGTATTAGATAGACTATTAGATTATACTTTTAAACTATTTTAAAAGCTATAATATTAGCTTAAGCTTCTATATTAATTAGAGTATTATAAACTTAACTATCTACTTATTATAATTAAATAAATATATAAAGGAGATTCTAATAATTTTTAATTATTTATTCTTCTAGATAGTCTAAGAGTATATAATTAACTAATATCTAGTTAGTTTATATAGTTTCTTAAAGGTTTATAATAACTTACTTTTAAATTAGTATCTTTTCTTTTATATTAATTAAATTATATTCTACTTTATTAGAATCTAATTAATTAAATATTTCTAGATATTAGCTATAATCTAACTTATATAGTTATAGAGTTATAAGCTAAAAAATAGTATTTTTACTATTTTTAGAAGAATAATTCCCTATATTATTTCTAATAGTATATCTATAAATTTTATTATATAATTCTTAAGCTAATATAATCTTACTTATAATCTATTTAGAATCTTTAGAATCTTAGATTTTAACTATATTAACTCTAGTATTATATCTTCTGAATTAATATAATAAAGTATTATTACTTAATAGAGTATTCTTAACTATTTACTTAGATCTATATATCTAATTATAATATTTCTCTATAAGAAGTTTTCTAAAGATAGAATTAAATTAGATAATTTTAAAGATCTTTAGAGTAATCTTATTATTCTTAATAGCTTTTATAATTAGTTACTTTCTAACTAGTTCTTACTCTATAATCTCTTTATATAGACTATCTATTATATTAGTTACTTATAGAGAGTTATAATCTATTAGATCCTTATATCTTATTAATATATCTTTAGATTTATATTATATAATATATAAAGAACTATTTTTATCCTATTTTCTATATTTTAAATTAGCTAAATTTATTTTAATTATATAAGTATAATCTATTTAATTAAATAGTTCTAACTTATTATAGTTTATTTTAATACTTAGATTAATTAGATTAATATAAAATATTATTATTAATTCTAATCTTTTAAATTCTTCTTTTCTTATTATTATTATTATATAGATTAAAAGATATTTATTATTCTTTAGAATAAGAATTTTAAAAGCTTAATAATTCCTTACTCTCTTTATAACTTAATCTATAGTTTTTTCTTTCTTTAGAATAATTATCTATCTTATTAGATTAGAATTATATATCTTTCTTATATACTAAACTAAGTTAGAATTATAATAAGAAAATTATCTTATATAGTAAATAATAAGCTTTCTAATATTTAATATCTATTTATAATAATTAACTAGTATAGAAAGAACTTTTTTTCTTTTAGCTTCTAGATATAAAGTACTAGCTAAATATTTATAGTAAATAAATCTAGTTTCTTTATTAATCTTAAAGTCTATATATTAATTAAGATAATAGTTAGATCCCCTATAGTATTAGTATATATTATTATAATTATAAGATATTAGAATATTAATTTCTATTAGATCTATTTAATTAAATCCTTAATTATTAATTAATTTATTCTATATCTTAATTAAATTTATATAGCTATCTTAAGAGTTCTACTTTATTAAGATTTAGATTTATAATTAAATCTTAGTTATCTTTAAAGAGAAAAAGATTAAGATTTTAATTCTCTTATTTATTTATTATATAGAGATAGCTAAATTATTTATCTATACTATTAGGTTATTTATAAAGACCTTAGTAGTTTTTTTTTAACTAAATTAAAGTTCTATAATAGTTTTTTCTTAATAGGAGAATAGTTCTAAGATCTATACTTATTTTAAGATTTTAATTTATTTAATTAAAAAATCTTATAACTAGATTATATATTACTCTTACTATTTAGCTTTATATAAAATATTCTTCTTATTAATTTATTTATAATCTTTAGAGATTTTAATTTAGTTATAAATAAATATAATAAGTATTTCCTATAGAGTTTTATATAGAAGAAAATAGAGTTTTTTTATTATAAAACTCTTTCTATTTTAAATCCTATAGAATATCTCTAAAGATATTAGCTTATAAAGATTCTCTAACTAGCTTATAAATAATTTCTAAAAGAACCTTTAATCTTTCTTCTAATAGTAATAATATTTAATAAAAGTATTTTTAATCTTATAAAAATTATTCTTTAATTTTATCTTATTAATCTATTTAATCTTCCTTATTAGAGAAATTATCTAATTATAATTAAGATATTAATATTCTTTCTTAAGAATAGCTTTAACTTTATTCTAATAATTCAGATTCTTAATATAATATTTAATTTATAGTTATTTACTATTAAAGATATTAAACTCTAACTAGATAAAATAATACTTTTTTAATAAATCTCTTAAATCTATTATATTATTATAGTTCTTAAAAAATAAGATTATATTATAACTATTAAATTATTAGTTAATTATAAGTATATAAGTAAAGAGATTAATTTTCTTAATAGTATATATTAGTATTAATATAAGTTTATTTTAAAGTAATCTATATTAAAATCTAATAACCTTCTATAATAGTTATAAAAAGAAGGTTTTAAGTTTTATATATATTCTTATTTAATTAAATAGTTTATATTTAGAGCTAGTTAATTAATCTATTATAGCTACTATAATATAGCTAAAAGATATATCTTTTATAAGAAAGAGTTTTTAAAAGTAAAAATAATAATAGGTAAAAGGATATCTTTTTCTATAGATACTGAAAAATAGCTAATTTATCTAATCCAGCTAAATTAATAAGTAGGCCCTAACTTAATATATAATTATTAGAATATAGTTAATTAATAAATAATTAATAATTATTTAAAAAATAATTAAAATTATATATATAATATTAATATTAGTAATAATACTATAAACTTCTAATATAAGAATAGAATAAGTAATATATTTATATTTAGTTAAACTATAATAAATAATATTATTTATTAATTAAAATAAGTTATTATTTTTATTATATTTATATTTATTTACTAAGATAATAATAAAACTAAATTATAATATTAAATCTTAGTTATTAATAAATAATTTATTAATAAATATAAAAAGTTTAGTTATTTTTAGATCTAGAGAAATAAAGTTTAACTTTTAATTTAAATTATTAATTTTTTTTATTAGTTTTACTATAAATAAGGATATATCCTAAGATCAGATAATATATAATTTAATATATACTTTTTAAGAATATAATTAGTAGTTTATATCTAAACCTTTAATATTATAAGATAAAGTTAAAATTAAATACTTTTAGCCTAAGTATAGATATTAATACCTTAAAAACTCTAATAATAAGAGCTATTTATATAGCTAGATATATAAATAGTCTAGCTATAGCTATAGCCCCTAAGAGAGAAAGCTTATTATCTAATAATAATAACTATTTTTTCTTTCTAACTTAAAGCTTATCTTAATCCAGATTAATTAATTATATTATTAATTAATTACTTAATTAATTAATTACTAGATAACTAATAAGTTCTTAAATAGCTATAATATTTAATATAAATATTCTAATCTCTTAGAATTTAGTTAATACTTTTAATAAGATTCTTAAAATAATAATAACTATTATTTAAAGTAATCTAATATAGCTATTTACTAATTATATTTATAATATACCTCTATAGTTTAATATATAACTTATAGTTTTAGTATATTATATATTATATTAAGTTAATAAGAGTAGAAATAGCTTTTAAGAATTAATTTATTAATTAAGCTTTTTATATTTTAGAATAATTTAGATTAGAATATTAGTTAGATTAGATTAAGCTTAATATTAGTATATTAGAGTTTATTTTAATTTAATTTAAATTATAGTTATTTAGAAATAAAAGAAAAGTTAATTACTTAAGATTATTAATTAAGTTTATATCTATAAATATAATATATATTTACTATTATAGAAAATTTTTATTAAATAATATAGATTTAATATTAACTTAATATCTATTTATATATACTTAGTTATACTATATAATATTATTAATTTATTATTAAATATATCTATTTAGTACTTTAATTTATATATCTAATAGATCTTAGTATTATATAGCTATAAATAGATTAAATAATACTTTTAGTTAATAGATTAATATAATATATATACTATAGATATATTACTTAATATACTATTTTTTAATCTAATTAGATTAAATAAATTATGATTTATTATTTTAATTCTTTTATTTTAATTAGATAATATTATTAGAGGCCGTCCCTGGTCAAAAATGTCACAGGAAGAACCGCACCAGGTGTTTTGGGAGGTTTCAATTCCGCGTGGCAGCTCAGCCGACATCAACAACAATTCAATCCTCCTATGCACTATAGTGAGTTTTCGGGGATCTTTTATGGCCACTGTTAGGTTGAAAGCTACCACTACTTTGAAACTGAAGCTCAAAAGCTTCCCCTGGTCCGAAAAGGACCCCATGTTATTCAATGGCCACACTTGCAAGGGCAAGCAGTTTTCTAATACCAAGTTTGCCGAACTTGAAAGGGACCAGATCGAAGAATATTTGCCTCGACAGTATCCGAAGCCAGTAAGTTCAGCTCTAACCGATGAAAAAAAGAATCCTCGCTAAAAAATTGCTAGGACTTGACGGTAGGAGGCACTGGCCCAACACCGATACCAGGGACCGTCTGTCGACTTCACGGGATTCCCATCTCTTACACGCCTGGTATAATTTCCAAATTGCTGTCTAAAATTTTAAATATCCCCTCCGCTTCGATTCAGATCAAATCTTTCGCGAGAAACCCGTACCACGGGGAAATAACGGCTTTAGTGTCATTCACAACATTTCCGATGAAGCTCAAGCGTACACAGTCAGGCCGATGGCAAATTTCCGTGCCATCGACAGAATTGCCGAGAACTGAGGATACTCATGCGAGCCCTCCGTCGTCATTATCGAGCCCAAGCCTTGATCTACATTTCGATACCAATTTCCTTGGATTTACAAATCTCAGTCCTTTGTCTGGTGATCCTTTTAACATTGAGTAAGTTTTATTCGTTCCGGATACTGATAATGACGTGGTTGTTATGTATTAATCAATGAATTTTGCTTACAGCATCGTCGCGGTACATGGCCTTGGTGGTCACGCCTACGGGTCTTTCAAGCAGCGAGGGGGGCCTTACATGTGGCTGAGCGACTCATTATACGATAACCTACTCAAAATTGCGCCATCAGAAAAGTTCCCACAGGGAATCAGACCAAGAATCCTTCTATATGGACACGACTCTCACATAGATCAAAGCCAGACATTCCAGTGCTTGGAGGACCTGGCCATTGACCTCAAGATTTTGCTTCGTGGGATACGCGAACAAGATCCAACCAGGCCACTGATTCTTATCGGTCATAGTCTTGGTGGCCTGCTGATCAAACAACTTTTAATACAGTGGGCAGTGGAAGAGGGCAGCGCCACTGACAAGTCAAGCCGTGAGGCCACCACTAGTCTACTGCTGTTTGGAGTCCCGAATCGCGGGATGGACATCACCGCCATATTATCAATTGTTGGGGAACAGCCAAATGCTGAGTTTATATCCTCGTTGGGGATCGGCTCTCCCATCCTAGAAGAGCAGTCAAAGGCATTCCCTGCACTTTGCAAGTCCACCAAAATGCGCATATATTCTTTCTTTGAGACATGTCTATCAAACACAGCAACAATGGTACGGTCACGACTACAACTACTCTCATTTTAAACCTTGCCCATTTTTAGTAATGTCGCTGATATGTTTGTCAACAAATAGATTGATGGAAAGCTGAGCATAACTGGCAAGCCAGTAGTCTTGGTCGACAAGGCGTCTGCGACTCATGGGCGACCGTGGGAGATGAACAATCAATTCATCATTCCAATCCAGCGCACCCACTCTGATTTGGTCAAGTTTGATTCGAAATACAGCCACGACTATGAGAAGGTACGAGGTTGCTTTAATGAAATCCTCGGGCCAGGAAAGAGCATGCGTGTTGAGGCACTTCCTCTACAGTGATTTCATAATAGATATTTGTATTCAAACTAGCTTCGAGAAGCTAATGCGTCATGGTAATATTAGTATTCAATAAAATAAAAAACTCCAGAAAATTTTGTAATCATGATCAAGGTTTATCAAAGTTAGAGTTTCATGTTTGGCTTCAGGGCAACGCCTCCTTTTATTTTCATCCACCTTCTATAAAGAGATATCAAGTTATATGAAGTCTCTTAACGATAGTAACGTATATATTCTATCATATTTAGAAGAAATACTGTTACTTATTATGTTTCTATAACTAGTTTATCTATTCTAATTTCCCTATAATTATATTCAAGCTTAAATATCTATATCAGTTAGATTCTTCTTCGTAGATGTCGCTGTCACTATTTTTTGGTTTAGTTTAAGTCTCAAGAGTTATCATTGACCGTTGCCAATGGCAGATAACTTACAATTTCTCGTCGAAGCGTTCCCTTCCTTCAGCGTCATGTTTGACCCATACGCTCACGCTGCATTGTCCGCAAGGGAATGTTGCGAAGCCATCATCACCAATGATGATTTCATCGTTGCTCCAGCCTAGGACATCAGTCCACTTCTCACCTGCGTGCATCTCACCGACATGCATTCTCTTCTCACCAGGGCCGGCATTGCTAATGACCACTGCGCAACCAGCCGGACGATCGTGGGTACCGTATCGAACCCAGCCAAGGCATGTAGCATAGTCAAAGTAATCGGCCTGCTTGCCGTAAGAGTAGAGCTTACGCGCAAGCAACAATTTGGGCAGTGACCCGCCGCATGACGGTGGAAACGGGTGCTCGCCCTTGATGCCATACAAATCGCCGTACCATACGCAGGGGTAGCCTTCGTTTCGGAGTAAGATCAGCGAGTAAGCTAGGGGCTTGAACCAGTCGGCGATTTGCACCTCGAGGGCTTGGTAGGGCTGCGTATCGTGGTTCATCACAAGCGTAACCGCGTTGATCGGCATGCTCTGGACCAACGTGTCATCAAAAACCTTCCGCATGTCAGCTCCGTCGCCTTGGCTAATCTCACTAAAGTTGTAGACCAGAGGTGCGTCAAAGAGGGTAAACTTTCTCCCCATCCGCTCGAGGTAATTCTTCATGTCGTCGAGACTGTCCTTCCAGAACTCCCCAACAAAAAACCAATTTCGGCCAAAGGACTCATCCATATTCGTGATAAACTTGCGCAGAAACTCCTCACTATAGTGTTTGATGGCGTCGAACCTCATGCCTTTGAGGGGAATTGTTTTGGCGATCCATTTGCCCCATGCCAGCACGTCTGCTTCGACTTCGGGATGGGAGTAGTCGAGATCAGAGCCCATTAAAAAGTCGCTGAGTCAATTAGCACAAGAGAAATTCACCAGCTTGTGCACCACGTACTAGTTTCCCTTCTCGTCGTCCACATCCGGTACGTCGGCCCAGCCAGTCGACTTGTCACCTACAATCTTATAGATTGCCGTCTTCTCGTTGGCAGCGTTGTAGTCGACACCACCAAAGTGGTACCAGTGGTATTTTTGCTTGCTGTACTTTTCACCTCTGCCAGGAAATGTGAAGCCAACCCAAGCCTCAATCTCATACTGATCACTGATAGTCTTGTTTCGGTCGTTTTCGTCGACCTCGACCGCCTGGCACTTCTCTTTGCGATCGGCGGCGAACCTGTGGTTCAGAACAGCATCCCAATAAATACCCACGTCATTCTTTTTGGCTGTGTCGCACAGTTTCACCAGTTCCTCCTTGGTGCCCCATTTGGTGGCCACTGAGCCCTTCTGGTCGAACTCGCCCAAGTCATATCTATCTTAATTATTAGAAGGTGGCACGGCTCATCAAGAGATAGGAGCACATGCAGGTCATAGATATCATATCCGTTTCCTTCCTTTGACGAGGCTTTGCAGCTACACCTTTTGTCAGTCGAGTTGCCACAAGAAGGGCACAATTCACTCACCCGGGTGGAACCCATATGTTGTCGACTCCCCAGTGCTTGAGTTGCGGAATGTGCTTCTCGAGACGGACCCAGTGCTTCTGATCTGCGGGAACATACCACTCAAATCCCTGCATCATCGTTTTGTTCTCCGGGGTAGGGTCTTGTTCCGCCATTTTGACAATTGTTGCCTCAGAACCTAAAGCTCACACGACGATGAATTTTTGCCAACTTCATGGCACTTCTCGCTGGATCCTGTTATAAATACTTAGCACTACCTCAAGGTAGCCCGGTGGAGCAGACTGCAGTAGATCGTCGATCGAGCTTTGGCAGAGTCTAGACTCTTGGTCTTGAAGGATCCACCCGTGCCTAGAAAGTTGGCACAACAGGTTTCGATTGGTCATCCGCGAATTCTTATCTCAATAACGCGGCTGCTACGAACTAATTCCCGCATATGTGACGACAAGAAAACCTGATGAGAGTGGGCGGTCAATGGCGTGTCAGCCTCAATTGGTCCTAGCCCCTGAGTGGACAGAACCAACTGGCTGGAGCTGCGAACTTCTACTCATACGTCATGGATTATGCAGTGTAATTAAAAACAAATGTACGAATACCAGAAGGTGCTAATCACTGGTGATTCTTTCTTCAACTATTTGGGCAGAGAGAACAAGACAACGAGGGGAAATCATGAGATACGGTTCTACTGTGACATACCAGCTATGAGAGGTACTTTGAAGGTTGTTAGCGAGATTCTTGACAAGGTTAAACGGACGGAAAAAAGGTTTGAGGCTCTAACCTGTTCATTTAGGTTCGTACCACCAACAAGGTCCAGGATGACGCGGGTGTGTAACGATCCGGTCGTGATGGCTCGTCAGGATGCATGTGATGTTGAGTATATCGCACAAAGCTATCCGCTAATCAGCTGGTTGATTTAAACCAGGGGGTGCATCACCTTAACAGCACAGCAAGCGAGGCCAGATTTTACGAGCCGCATCGACCCCACTCGCACCTAAGTGGCAATGGCGTCCAAGGTCGTCCTATTGAATGCCTCATATTTGATCTTGATGTTGTGTTTGAGGATCTTGAAATGAGACTACCCCATACAGGGCATATGTAGCGAGCCCACTGTCGCTTGATATCTACACTTCTTTGCGGTTGTCTCTCTGAGAACGTCCTTGTGTCTGTTGTGTGACTTCCTGGTTGCACGGGCTCTCGTTTCATTATCATTCATCTGATTGAGTAAGCGGTTGGTATGAAATGTTTTTTCTGGCCATATTGAGTCAGGCTTGCCCAGGACTGATTAAGTCCTGATCTAGTGAGCGTCATTGTCGAAAATGGAAATTGAGCAAAACAGAAGGGGAAGCAAAGGAAGTGGGATAAGGAAGATAAATGCTCTACATGAGCCTTTTGCATAGAGGATTGACCTAGAGCGACAATTAACCAAAAAAAAAAAAAAAAAGAAAAGAAAAACAAAAAGAAAAGGAAAAAAAAAACCACTGAGCTGAAATGGATATGCTTGCCGCGCCGTCCGGTCAGTATACTCGTACTCGCATATGACTGAGCGGAGCAGCCCAGCTCGCGTGTTTAGTCCTCTCCATGCTCCCAGTCGAGATACGGACTTGCTGGTTCTTTAATTGCAACAAGCTATAATCTCGATAATAGTAGTTCGAATTAAAAAGTGGCAAAGTATAACTTCGTTCTGCGTCAATATTTTGCCACGCGCATCAAATGGTGTGCTTTCGCGGCGACTCAAGCAAGTCTTTTGTAGGGCCTTGCTCGTTAAGTTGGCTTTCAATGTCGTCTAGCAACTTTTGGCCCCAGCCTCTGAGGTATCAACAAACACTATCAAACGCATCCAAGAAGACAGCATAATGTGCCATGAATATCAAAACATGGGGGTTTGCTAGTTCTAATATGGCCCACGATATTGTCTAAGTACGTCAAATAAGGGCCACTGCAAGACTGCAACAACTTCAATATGAGCGTCAGCATATGGAATTTGCGCAGCCGAAACCTCAGGTACAATCGGCGATGGCTTTATCATAATCGATCGTACTGTGGTACGATGTCGACTCAGAGACAATGCGACGAAAATACGAAAGGGGAGAGAACGCAGCGCCTCCTACGTAACTAGTCAGCTCTCAAATCTGGATTCATTGTCGGATTTCGAGACAAACTGATGTAGAAGAGGATCCATCGGCATTAACTAAATACTAGACACGTGGGGCCAAGTATGTATGGATAAGTTTGAGTATGAAAGGCTACGTCCGGTGCCGCTTTTGGATACAGAAAGAGACTCCATAGTCGTCAAGATGGGACTGTCGTCAGCTCGCGTCCGTTTACAGACCACTTCGGAAGAGAAAAGGCATGTGCAATCACGATTGCGGCAAAAGAATACATCGATAACGTTCGGCCAGCAGAGTGATGGTTCCCAGACCGAGAGAGGTAGCCACTCCGTTCGTTCGGAACCAGGAAGACTTCATGCAGGAGCAGCGAGTGACAAGAACAGCTTGCGAGTATCGCCTTCCTCGTGCAATATCACCTCAACCAGCGGGCTGCCTCCTGTTGTGTCATATTTCTGCTTGTGACTGTGCAGTAGTGGTGCCTCAATTCAAAATCGCGACCCCAATACTGGCCACAATCACTTATCCTCGGATCGGCAATGAACTACAAAGACCCGCCTAACTGGGTATTCAGGGCTTGTTCTGATGTCTGGGTTTCTGCGTTCCGGCCGCAGGCGCCTCAGTCTCTCGCTACGGAAATCACAGGCCCTCACTGTACACGCTCTGAGGTCTATATGTGCATTTGGCACTATATCGGGTACGATTGACGCAGGATGGATGTATCGCGTCGCAGTATGCTTTTCATCAGCAAGATGAATGCCACATCAAGTATCGCACTTTAACAAGTGAGTAGACGACCTTGCTCGCCTTATTAGCCTTGCGCCGGTTGCACTCCCAGCCCCCTTTTCAGGACTCGCTGTGGGGATGTCGAAGGACGGCCATTGAGCACCTTCAGGGAGAGGTCGCTCTCTGAATACTCGTACAAACCTGAAGAAGAAGAGAAGATCAAGGTGGGGATTCAGCAGGGAAAGGATGGACTGGGCCAAGCCAGTGGGATTTAGCGGCTCGGATGAAGGGAAGGAAAGGGGAATTTGAAACAGAATACGAAAAACGAATACTCGTATTCCATTGCCGAACTACCAAGGATCTTAGATGATTTTTGTTAGATCCGCCATCCGCCGTTAATAAACGGTGAAAATAACTACTAGTATGATAACAACTAATCATTAGCCAGCGAAGTTGTTCAAAATCTCAATGGAAATTGGGTCTTTTGAATATGATCTCGGGGAAGCTGATATATGCTGGACATGGGACCGAAAATATGCTTGAAGGACAATAATGAACAGTCGGGATTCGCTGTAATGGCCTCTGGCGAGTGATTACGACCAAAAAGGCAAGCATAGGACGATCATATGTCACATTTGAAAAATTAGCTGTACTGTATTCCATTTGATTTAAATTTATGTTTTCCACTTGGATTTTTATGTTTGATTATAATATACATAGTTTACTAAGACTTGAATGCTTAATAAAAAGTGAAATATACAATTACTAAGGATCTTACCATGTAGTTGGTAAGAATTAGAGATAATCCTTTATATCAATCTCTAGAGCCTAAGGCTGATATTCGCGGAACCAGGTGGAAGTTGTGCAAGACTGCTTTAGCGCCTGGGGGCCTCATCTGGCGGTGATCCCGAGTACGATACGGTAATGACATCAGTCCTAGTGATAGCATTGCGCGTAGCTTCCGGTACCACGATGGGCTTCGCGGGGCCAGCCGCGACAACGTTGGGTTTGGTTCCGCTGAGGATTTCTTCTTGGCTCCCGCCCTCTTCCAAGACAGTCAAACCAAGATCATCCCTAGCCTTTGACTTGGGTTTGCGCTGTCCTAGCTCGTAGCCCGACTTCTGATCGCTATAATCTTCGTAGTATCGCCCGTTATACTTCGCTGAGTCTTTCCCACTGGAGAAGGGGTTGCGGCGGAGGACCTTCTCGACGAGGGGTTGGAGGATCGGGATCGTCGAGGCAACAATGATAGTGCTTCCTTCGATGCTGTAATCAAGTGGTCAGTAATTTGTCACAATAGAACAAGAACCACTACTTACACGGTCCAGGCGACCAAGTCGGCCGTATCATCTATTGGTAGGAACGCGATGATTAGATCAAGACCAGAATCTTTAGGCAAGAATGTGTGTCAAGGACTCACAAGAAAAGTCTGCAGATTTCAGAGAAGGAATTCGGGTTGTCTTGTAGATTGCTACAATGCCAGATCTGCAAAGGATTAGTATACTTCTTCGAAGTATATTACACTCGATCGCTACATACACTGAGCCGATGCCGAGAGCAAAGGAAAGCGCAAGCTTCTTCTTGAACGACATTTGCAAGTTGAATAAGACGATCGCAGGATAGATGGCAAGGTACAGATCGACAAAGGCAGAGAAAGCTTGGTAAGAGTCGACTGTTAGCATACTAATCGCTCTGCGGATCGGAAGGACGCCAAGGGATCTCGATCAAGACTCACAGCCAGCGTAGATACAGTATGCAACCAAGATATCTGGCGAGAAGCATTCTCCTGGAACATCAAAGTTCCAAAGAGAATGCGCCGGCCTGCATCGCCCAATCAAGACGCCCACAGTTGCAAAGAGCGTCAGTTGGCACCAGATGCCTTGCCACCAGAGAAAGTACTTGTGCCACTTATTGGGGTTCAACAGCTTCGTCAGGAGGTAAACGACGGCCATCTTTGGTAGTCCAAATGACATGACGCCAGGGCAAAAAGCCGCCGTCGTCCACAGTACCGCGCTCTCCTGCTCATGTTGCGACAGAAGCTTCATGTGCCTACCGTTTCCAGCAGCCACCGCCTTCATCGATAACGCAGTCGAAATGTAACCGCAAACCTGGTTTCGTCGTCGTTTGGGTCAGTGTCATTCGCTTCTCGACTTGGTAACATGCGCCGATGGGTCGATATGCAGGTGCCCATCTCAGATCGGTTCGTCCAGACTTACCATTGCGATGACAGTCCAGTAATCATCCTGCTGAAGCTTCCTCATAATCCATCCTCGCACATACAGTCGAGCGAAGACGAATAACGTCGCAACCGCTGTTACCACCCAGCAGGTGATGACAATCCAGGGCCCTTTGTTTTCTGCAGCCCACGCCGCACTTCCCTCCTGTGCCATGATTTCGAGTTAGGGGTTGGCCGTCGATTGTTGATGTTTGACTGCACGGTAAAACATTCTATGTGGTGAATCAGAAGCTATGCAAGAAAAAAAAAAAGACGTGTAGGCATTGACTCATCTACCCATTCATCAGTTCATCGATCATCCCTGCGTCAGCATAGGGGAGGGCCCGGGCTGTGAATGCCGGTTTGAAACCACACAATTCGCCTTCGAGGAAAGCCCTTTCCGTGCGAGACCCGACGAATGCCAAAAAAGAAAATACCCTCGTCTGTGCGTAAACGTTGGACTGATCGTCGCCAAACCCTGGTCTAGACTAACGTTAAACCTGGGGAGTTATAAGCCGTTGTTTCTTCTTGTTCTACGACTACCGGTACTACGACTAAAATTTAGTCATTAGCGTTGCTCTGAAGCCTAGTATCATCTACTTGCAGCATAATCAGTCGCTTAGGCGATTAGCAACACATGAATCCATTAGCAGACAGGCACCAGGCAGTACATGTGGGATGCCAAGTAGATCAACTGGAATTTATACCTCGTATACACGGGCTAATCTATACATTTCTATCCACTACATATAAAAAAGACTCTCGGTGAAGCAGATGTATCTTCTAACTCTCGGCCATGTCCCATCTTAGCTACATAGTACGATGATGATCTGAGCGGTTGGTCAGGGCACTAGTGCTCTATCCTGGATGTATGGAGATTACGACGTTGTGGGATACTAGAATGTCACCTTCGGTCCCGCTTGTGACCATTTCTGCACTTTTAACGGGCTGGAGAGAATGTCACAGCCGTTTGATCAGCACTAAGAAGTCCTCCGACACTAGGGGAAGAAGCCGCTTCTACTCCCTACATGGGTCGATGTCCTGACGAGTGGGGGGGACTAAAGGCCTTCCCTTGCTCCATGGCAGCCACTAGAGTCTCCGGGCTCCTCGGTGACGAAAATCACCAGGAATGGAGGTCAGGGAAGGTTTCGAATCCATTCGAGACCGGTAGGTTGTAAGGCCCTGACGGTTGATCAAGCCCCTTGCCATAAAAGTGGCATGATAACCTGACTCGCAAATACCCAGGGTGCCTGAGTTTTGTCCAAAATGGGAAGGGGTCAAATTCACATTGGACGGTTATGCTGTCATCTAGCCCTGGCGATAGCCGATTCTTGCCGGTCTGACCATATGTGAACGAGGATTCCACGGCTCTCGGCCGAATGACGCTACCTTGTGTTTACTCCTCGTATGATATTTAACGAATATTCTAACATGCTAGCCAAAGCGAGTCACTATGTCTACTGCTTTACATAACAGCTTTGCAGGCACGGCCTGCAAGTTGGTTGTGATTAAGACTTACGCGAGGATTCCGATAATCTACCACGAAGGACTTTGAGTATTTTTCTGTCACTGCTGAGGTGCCATTGGTGCGCCTCCACTGGTCTCCAGGGATCAGCAATGCATTGCGTGTCGTAAAAGGAGGGATGTTGCTTGGCTGCATCAGG